AGGGAGCAGAGGGAGGGGGAGGGAGGTTTTGGTAATGGGCCACAATAATCAACCACATTGTATATCGACAAAATAAAATTTAAAAAAGAAAAATAGGGCCAGCCTGGTGGTGTACTGGAGAGTGCGCCGCTTGGGAGTGCGGCGGCGCTCCCGCTGAGGGTTCGGATCCCATGTGGAGACCGGTTCCCGCTCACTGGCTGAGCGCGGTGCGGGCGCAACACCGAGGGTTGCAATCCCATTCCCAGTCCCCGGTACGGGCGCGACACCAAGGGTTGCGATCCCGTTACCAGTCAGTAAAAAAGACAAAAAGGAAAAAAAAAAGAAAAAGAAAAAAATAATAAAAAAAAGAAAAAGAATCACAGGAGGAAGGCGGTAATGGTCAGGCAAAGATAAACTTTGAACCAAGTGAATTTAAGGGGCCATCACAAAACAAGTGGGGCGCCCTTGCATGCACTCAGAAACGGTTAAATCTTAGTGCCTACCTTCAAGAATCCTCTTTTTGCTTCATGTCCCCCTCTAATGTCTGCCCCATTTCTCTCTTCCCTTCTGAAATAAAGAGCTGTCTAAAGCCATTGTCCTCACCTCGCCACCTCTCTTCAGTCCACCCTGGACTCTGCCACTAGCACTCCACTAAAATTAATCAGTGTTGTCAGTAGCATCATCCAATGGTCAATTCTTAGCCTCTTTAGATCCTCAGCAATATTGACAGAATAACCACACTCCTTGAAGTATTTTCTTTCTACTTCACTGGCTTCTTCTCAGTCTCTTGCTACTCTGTCTCTTCCCATCCTCTACAGTCTCTAGCACACTTTGAATGAATGCTCTCCCTCTCTCAAGCAGTCTCACCCACTTCCATGGATTTACATGCACATATGGTAAATAGTGCAAAAAAGGTTGATATAAATTTCAGAGTCATCAGCAAATATAAGCTTGACTAGAGCTTTACCTTGAAAAATAAAACTAAATATCTTGGAAATAATTTATTTTACACTGTATTTAACAAAAATTATACTTAAAACTACACAATAATTCGTAGAAAAAGGAATAAATCAGGTTTTGTTTTGGTGACAATTTTCTGATAAAATTAATAGAGCACAGTGTGACAGGTCTTCCATTTGACTTTCAAAACACAGTCATAAAAGAGAGTAATTTTACTGCATTAAATTTCCCAAAGCGAAGCCTTTGAAGTACCTTGTCATGATACTTGTCAGTCATTTCTTCTCACTTTTTAAACTGATTTCCACAGTATGCTAGGTTCTTATTTTCCCAGTGGCTGTAATTTGGAAAGTTCTCCAACAATACTATCATGAACTTAATTAGATAATTACTTTCCAATAGACTTAAATCAGAAGGGTCTTGGACTCAATGGACAGGGCAGTCTGACGCTACCTCTAGGCAGGTAGCTCTAGAGGCTCCTGTGGCCCCAGATGACAGTCCACAGGAGGGCCCCTGGCCCAGTATGAGCCATCAGAACCTTCCAGAGAGTGAGGCTCTGCTGGGTGGCCCAGTCGAAGAGCAGAGATTGAGAGGTCAGCAGCCATGTGGTAGAAGGTGCCGATGTACAAAAAACCGACACAGTGAAAAGCTGGGAGAAAACAGAAGAAAAGCACAGCTTGAAAGCCATGAGTCCCTGATTCAAACTGATACCTCCCTCTTCCTCCAATGGTCACAGTGCAGTTACGTAGGCCTGTAAATTCCCCTTTTCCAGAATTAGTTTAAGCTGTGTTTCTGTCATTTGCAAATAGTGACGGAATCTTAAAAGAGCAATGATGAAAAAACAAAAACAAAAAAACCCACTTAAATGAAATAAAACAAAAAGCATTGATGAAATAAAAGGTGGTAAAGGACTCTGGGACAGTCATGAGAAGAGACAAGAGAAAGGCAGAACTAGCGGACAGCAATAACCACCTGGCCATGAGATCAGGGGAGGCCTTATCTGAGTAGCAAACAGTAGCAGTTAAATTTTTAATTTATTTGTCTTACTTTCTGATAACAATTAAACTATTCTGTTAGATTAAGCAGAGTAATATCAATGAAACAGGAATAATCTTTAAAAATAGAATGACTGAAGTACGTATCAACAAGACAGGTTAAACCAAATCAAAACTTCATAAACAGCATATTATGACATCAGTGTCCATGCTCCTCTTTAATAAGGAGGAAAGAGGGAGGGGAACATGTGAATAACACAGTAAGTCCAGCTCTGCTTTCATCTCATTCTCCTCAGTTTCTATAATGGACAGATCCACTAGAATTTCTGCAAAGAGATACAAGTAAAAAATATCAGTTAAATATAATTAAAAGCCATCAACAAAACAGGTGACACAACACTGTGGCTATATAGTTTACATTTATAAAATAAGTGAGAATCGATTCCCGTTGATATCATCAAGCTTGATATTTCAGAAGTGTGAGATTCAGGAATCACAGTTTGATATCAAAAGATAGAGATAGGGTATTAACCTAAGCTGGCAACTGTCAATTAAAAACAAAATTTTTACTATTTAAATGGTAATTTTAAAAAATGTCCTCCTCAAATAACACAAGTATTTTCTTTAGGATGGTAACATACTAACCAGTTTTCTTTGTTGCCAACATCTTGGATATCCCGTCCATATTTAAGGAACACTTTACTGGGTGGCACTGCTTCAACAGCTACTGGAACTACGTTTGAGTTGTATTTTGATAAAATCTAAAACAAAAAGCAAATTCCTTTTTATCAAGTCATATGAACAACAATATAAATTTGGAAGGTGTTATAAAATGTTCAAGAGAAGCCATGGAAAATTTGAAGATATGGGTCATTTAAAACACTAAGAATTTTTTTTTAGCAGTGCATACAGACATTCAACAGCAATGAAAAGATGGTGATATTAGAAATTTAACTTGGATGGGAAGGTTTGATTTATAAAGCCTTCTAAAATGCACTTTGAGCTTAATGGAAACAAGAAGCAATATACCACAAATAGCAAATTAAGCCTTTACAAAGATGTTAGGGAAAATATACATAGGAAAGATCTGACATGAATGCTCAAAAGAAAGATCATCAATTATAAAGATCATAAAAAGAGAATCAATCAGCAATGAAATATTATCAGCAATATTTTTTTCATGCATAAGGAAATGACATATTAAATACAAGGTGTCCTTTCTTTCACACAGAAATAAAGAGAGAAGAAGCAACCACGGGAAAGTAGAAACTCTATATGACTTCCATAAAGACAGAAGATGCTCCTTCCTCACCCAATTCATTGTATCTCTTGGGAAAGCAGAAAAGACAGAGAAAGGATAACAAGTACTTTATATTGATATCCTAGGATGATTGATATCTTAGGATGAGTTCTAATGACATTTGGGTATTTTTCCCAAGTGGTTTATCCTTCTCATGGTTCTCCATAAGCCAGGAAGATTTCTAGAGTGGTTATAAAGGATTCCATGTGTCTAAGCAATAATAGCCAAACACCATAACTTCTATAAAGGAGGGCAGTGTCAAAGAATCAGACTGATTATTTAGTAGAGTTGGCAGCTGTTATAAATCAATAGTAGACTTAGAGGTTAGACTTTGTATAATGATTTTATACTAAAGACAGATATTCTAATATACATAAATCACTGTTTCTCAACTGAGGTCCAAGAAGTCTCAAGTTCAAGAAACACTGATATAAGTTATTCATGATACCCTGCTCTGGAGAATTGTAGGGTAAATGACATTTCTGACTTTGTCAGCAACACTTCCAATGGAACAGTAGTCAACATGGCAACTGCAGTTAACAAGTATTAGAAAATATTGTAAGAATACATTTCAGAACATGAAGTTAAAGGTGAAGAGAAAATGTCCCATGAGGGTAATATCACTAAAAACATGACAAAGTCACTAGCTTGTGCTCAGCTCAGAAGAGCCTTTGCCAGGTGGTCTTAGAGGGCCTAACAGCCTAGACTTTAAATTTTCTCAATACCCAAAGTAGCCCTTTAGCCTGATGATTTTTTTTTTCCTTTGCCAGGTGGTCTTAGAGGGCCTAACAGCCTAGACTTTAAATTTTCTCAATACCCAAACTAGCCCTTTAGCCTGATGATTTTTTTTTTTTTTGTCTTTTTTCGTGTCCGGCAACGGATCGCAACCCTCAGTGTCGCGCCCGTACCGGACCGGGACCGGCAACGGGATTGCAACCCTCAGTGCTGCACCCGCACCTCGCTCAGCCAGCGAGCGAGCGGGAACCGGTCTGTATGTGGGATCCGAACCCTCAGCAGGAGCGCCACCGCATTCCCAAGCGGCACACTGTAGCAGTGTGCCACCGGGCCGGCCCAAGCCTGATGATTAAACAGATAGTTTATATGCAGTTTCAGGTCTTAATATAAATATCTAATTTTGAAAAGAATATCAGAAAAAAATTAAATAGCCTGTAAAAATAACCTGGAGAATATCTTCTGGAATTGTAGTTACTTCTGGAGGTGGAGGCGTTCTGAGCAGATTCTCATAAGAAGAAATTGTAGGAGAAGAAGGCTCTGCAAAATTCTCGAAGCACTCATCTGAACTTAAAACTAATGAAGTGCAATCTTTAACTTCCAAATCATCTGATGCACTGTTTCTTTTTGATAATGGGTAATTTGTGGATACCTATTGAATAAAAATAATCATTAAATTATGGTAGTATAACATAATGTAGTAAATAAAAATTGTTAGCCAATTGTTAGTTCTGTTGGAATCTCTTTGTAGTCCCAGTATGACAACCCGCTTCCCTGAGTGGTAAAACAAAATTGAGAAAAACAAAGAAATGGCATACAGAGGACAAAATATCATTTTCATTACTAATAAAGGCTAAGTTAGAACTTAATGTGAGACCTAAATAGACTTGTTGACAGACCCCCAGCTTTAGATGGCCTCACCCACCCCTTCTCAGAGGACACTAAACTGGGCTGAATGAGTCATAACATCATAACATGGATGAGCAAAGTGTTTCTACTTGCCCTCAGCAGGCAGGGCCACTCCCAAGAGGAAAAAAGAGGATCTGGGGCAAGCTCAGCATGCAATATATGCATGCTAAATTGACCAACTGGGTAAGTCACTCCATCTCCCTAGGGTCAGCATTAATAAAGGCTAGGTGTGTCATATCAGTAGGGTGCCATCTACATGAACAGAAACATAAAGAGTAGATTAATTATAAACGGCAAGTACCAGTAGGCAGATAACCTGACACTTCAACTGATAACACAGCACTGTTTTTGTCTGCAGCTGCACTGTCCAATACAGTAGCCACAAGCCACGTGGGGCTATTTAAATTTAATTTTAAATTAATTTAAATTAAATAAAAATTTTAAAAAATTAAAAATTAGTTCCTCAGATGCATTAGTCATATTTTAAGTGCTCAATAACTACATGTGATCAGTGGGTACCATACTGAATAATACAGATTATAGAGCATTTCCATCATTATAGAAAATTCTATCTGATACCCCAATACAGTATTGGTGTCTTAAGTGTCATACAGACTTTAAAGATTTTGATTATAGTAAATTTGTTCACTGGAAAATTTTGGGGAAAAGCAAAATAAAAATCACCCACCCATAAATTAATCACCCAGAGATAACCACATTTTGGTGTGTTTCTATCCATTCTTCTTCCTTGAAACGTATGCACGTATATATGTACATGTGTATACACGTACATGTCACTTTTCATATGATTAAATATTTCTTGAAAACATTCTTTTTATGTCCTCGTCTGTTTTTCAAAACATATGATAGTGACCTAACACCAGACTTTATGGATATGCCTTACTGCATTTTGCTTCTCTATCATTTGATATTTACATTGTTTCCCATGTGCTGCTCTTGCAAATAATGCTGTTCCTTCTATAACTTCCTTGTTATAAATCTTTGTCCCAGTTTGTCTTAGAACAAATTCTGAGACACTGGCTAAAGGGTATGAAAAAAATTTTTTTTTTTT